ATTAGCCAAAGGTATGCTAAGTTCATCTTTACATTCCTTTAACACCCTTGCAAACAGTTCATCAGGGCCTGGGGATTTGTTAGGTTTTAGTTTCTCTATTTGTCTGAGGACCATTTCACTAGTTACCTCAATTGTACATAGTTTATTATCATCCTGTTCTACATAATCTATTATTTCAGGAATATCGCTAGTATTTTCCTGGGTGAAAACTGAGAGGAAGTAGGTATTGAGAATTTCACACATATCCTTATCACTGTCAGTGATCTGACCAGAGTTACTCTTAAGTGGGCCAGTCTTGTCTCTAATCTTACTTCTGTATACCTGAAAGAACCCTTTTGGGTTAGTCTTTGAATCCCTTGCGACCTTAGCCTCATAATCTCTTTTTGCTTTTCTTATTCCTTTCTTTATTTCTCTCTTTAATTGAATATATTGATTTCTTAGTTGCCCATCCCTTCTTTTGATACGCCTATATATGCCTCTCTTTTGACCAATGAGATGTTTTAATCTATTGTTCATCCATTTGGGATCATTTTTGTTAGATCTAATTTCCCTACTCGGAACAAAAGTTGTCTGGGCAGCTAGAACTATGCTCTGAAAAACGTCATATTGGCAACCAAGATCACCTACCTGACCCATAGTCAGGACATCCCAATTTAGCCCACCCAGGTAATTTTTCAGTCCCATGAAGTCGGTCAAGCGAAAATCTGGGACAGAGATTTGATTGCAGTTATCTGGGTAATTCCATGATATATTGAAACTAAGTGATTTGTGATCACTTTCCCCAAGCTCATCATTAACCTCAAGATTATTAATTAGTGAATCTTTGTTGGCAAGAACTAAGTCAAGCAGATTGTTTCCTTCCGTTGGTTCTGTCACAACCTGTTCTAAAAAGCAATCCTGAACCGTATCAAGAAAGTCACTAGACTCAAGATTTCCTGTCATAGTGTTCCAATCAATTTGTCTCAAGTTAAAATCTCCCATTATCACAACATTTTCATATCTAGATGCCTTATGAATTTCGTCCCATAACAGCTTACTGCACTCCCTGTCAAGGTCTGGGGGCCTATAAATCACACCCAAAATTAATTTGTCACGTCCCTCGAGAAACTGTAGCCAAATAGATTCTGTGTTCGATGTTTCTAATCTTATATCATGTCTAAGACAACAATTTAAATTTTTTTCTGACATACATCGCAACCCCACCACCCTTCCTGTTGACCCTATCAGTGTGGAATAGTTTATAACCCTGTATGTTGCATTCAGAAGGCATTTTTTCTATCTTTCAGGTTGAACCAGGTCTCTGTTATACCAATAATATCTATATTACCTACACTTGCAAGTAATCTTAGCTCATCTATCTTATTTCTTAGACTCCTACTATTTGTATAGTAAACCTTAAGGGAGCTAGTCACTCGTTGCCCTCTACTATCTCTCTTTGTTTGTTGATCGTTTGATTTGCCATTACTAGCAACTTTATTTTGAATTTTGTTCTTTTAAGCATATCCCTGAGGTATCCCGGTTTAATAACTGCTGTTTTTAACCCTAATGCTGCAGCCTGATTGTTTCCCAAAAAACACCCATACCTCTATAATCTATCAGTTTAAATCTTAGAAAGTCATCAGTTACCCTCTCAATTGAATTGGCTAATGCAACCAAATCCATCCCCCGAGAGATGAACCCCATCCCTTTTCATACATATCATGTTTGCCAAAGAATAGGTTCCCAGTTATCAATGAATGGGATTGCAATTCCTTGCAGTACCTGTCTAGCCAGCAATTTATACCCAAATTTCCCTAGACATCCCTTCATTGCCCACTCCCTTTCTAGGCAGATGCTACATATGACCAGGATCCCTCCCTAAGGGCCTAACTACTTCTATGGCTGACCTGTACTTATCCAGCAGCTCCTATCTCCTGCCCTTCCCAGTGTCATTATCCCCAGCACTAAGACAGATAATGAGCTTGTTCCCATTACCTGCCATAATATTATCCAACCTGCTGACTATGTCACCAACACCAGCTCCAGGAAGGCACACTCTTTGTCTGACCTTTCTGGGCTCTGTTACAAAAAAGCATGGTCCATATTTTCTTACCTGAGAATCGCCTACTATTAAAATATTCTTACCTTGATTAGCAGGGGAATCAGTGGTACCTTCAACCTCATTAACCACTGAAGTACACTCGTCTTGGAGAACAGAGAATCGATTTCCTACCTTCACATCTTCTCTATTAACTCTTCTCATCTTCCTTCTTCCTGAACTGTCAACCACTTGCCACTTAAAGCGGCTGCCACTATCACTGCTGGTGACCATTCCTTCCTTACCAGCTAAATCCTTCTCACACTCACTCCCAAACTCATCTATGCGAAGCTTCAGCCTTCTATTTTCCTCCTGAAGAAGTAGAATCTCCTTCTTCAACACTTGAACCTCAGATTCTAAAACACTACAACAAGCCATGGTGCTTGGTAACAGCCCACGCTAACTCCCAAGAGCTTAGGCAGGTATGACCGCAGGTGACCACTGACCTACTGCTTATGTGCTTATTTTTCCATTGTGTCGGTATTTTATACAATTTACTTCCAAATATAGAAACATCCAAGAAAGATGAAGCTGCAAGGACAGGAGGAGTCGACGAGGTAGGTACCTCGAAGCCCAGGGCTACAAAAGAGTTAGACACAGAGGTGACTGAAAGTTGTGACTACAGAGGAGATTGTGGAGGTAGATACCACATAGGTTGGAGGCCGTGGGAGTCTTCCTCGGAGGGAGAGATGGGAGACTGCCATGACGTAAAAGAAACCTTTCTGCGACAGTGGATTTCCCGTTACTTTAAGAATACCTGGTAATGGCGAGAATAAGTCAGGCGAGCTTCATTACATTTAAGGCAAGACGGAGGTTGGCTGCAGGATGTATTGCTATGGTCAGCAGCACCACAGATCGGGCATTCTGCCATGAACCTGCAGTGTTTCACCAGATGGCCAAAGCACCAGCAATTTTTACATTATTGTGGTGTAGAGATCAATTCTCATACTTGTAAATAGTGTCCCACAGTATAAACAGAGGATGGAGGTTTATGGCTGTCAAAAGTTAATCGAGGTATATTGCAGGGAAAGCATCTTCGCCTGAGGACGGGTAGCACATAAGTGTCCACTTTAAGAATTGGGAAATCTTGCAGCTCAAGTTGCTCCATAATGTCTGCACCACAGCTCAGGAAATCACGTTGAACAACGGTATGTGGAAGAACTATAGTTCCACAGCAAGAATTCAGAGAAATATGCTTATGAATAGTTACAGGAATATTGTCAACGCAGGTAAGAATGGAAAGATTGTGAGCCTGTCCAGCATTTTGCACCACTCTTTAGAGCATAAAAGGAAATATTTTGACCAACATGGCGTGGGAGTGCCTTGCTGATATTATGATCTGAAAGATAGTCAATGGGAAATATTAGTTGAAGAGTGAAGAACTTAGTCCATTTTGTACCTTCAAACATAAAGTGTAAGGGAAGCAAGTGTCGAGCCGGTAGTTTCTGTGAAGAGTGAGAGGTAACCAGGACAGTGTCATTCATTAATGGTCGTGGTCATTTAGGTGGGGGACCAACAGTGGTCCATCCTGAGATGAGTGGGCGATCTCTAAATCACTGCACTGTAGAGGGAGAAGCTGGAAGCATAATCAAAGATACGTGGAGGTTGGATGTATAAAAAGGGTCAGGCAGAACCTCGGTGCCAAAGGTGGGCAACAAAATGTTACCAGAAGAAAGTACCGGGTTGTTAGAGAGGTCTGAAGAGTCATGAGGGGGCGCTGCAGGAGAAAGGGATCCAGGAGAAGGAAATTCTTGGACCTGGGATTCCATGGTAAGTTTTCTCTTGTTTCTTTCTTTTTGTCTTTTTCAATAAAAAAAAATGAGGGTGCAGAGGTAACTCCTAGGAGAAATGAAGGACAGCATATATCCCACTCTGCTCCCAAGAGGACCCTCAGTGCTGTTGGTAATGTAGATGCAGCGTGAAACTCGTGCCCTACCCTACCCTTCACGCTGATAAACCGGCAATCAAGGATAGCAACCTCACATCCACCAAGCCACCTCGGTAGACAAAAGAGAGGGCGGTCGGAAGCCCACCACAAAGCATACCTTCTTCAGCCACCACCTCCCAGAACCAATAGACAGCCTCCAGAGATACATCCATTACCCAAGGGACACCATAAGCCGCCCTCCGGGACTCCAGAGAGTGGACTGGAGCATCCCCAGATGATCTAGATTCCATGGCAAACAACACCACCTTGGACCAAAGACCTCCACGGAATGGGGCGAGCAACGACACTCTTTTCCCAACCTAGGAGCTAGAATTTCGGAGGGAAGGACCCTAAAGGCCAAAAGCAGGAAAGGAAGGAGAGGAGAGGGATGAGGAAAGGAAGAGAGATGGGGCAGGGAAAGGAGGAGTGGAGGACAGTTAGGTTTGGTCGGAGGAAGAACACCAAATGGTCCAGTTCCTCAGACCAAAAGTCTTTTCAACACAACGAGGAGCCACCCTTGAAGAGGTTCCTATGTAGGCTTTTTGTCAACAGATCTGAGGAAGATGCTGGTTAGTCAAGGGTTATTTAGTCTATTCAATCTTAAGCTAGGACTAACACTAACAGTACAAAAATAGTTCTGACATGTATATAAATGTAGGACACTAAAATATATAATTACAAAATGCTGTAATGCAAATTTTAGTGAAAAATGAACATTTAGTAAAAAAATATTAAGATAATTGACTTTTGCTCTTAGATGTATTTTGGTGATAAATTATAGTTTAAAGTGTTTAATATTAACTGGGTTATGCAGTCTTCCCTAAGGGAAAGAATAAGAGTATGTGTAAGAAATGTTTTTCATAATTTTCATTACATATTAGTGCCTGCTACAGCTGCAGTCTTTAGAAATCTTTGAACTAATTTTTAATGGCACACCTTGTAAGATTTGTCAAATGTAATTCACCTGACATTTTTCTTTCACCACGTCATTACCAGACAGCATTAATAAAGAACTGCAGAAGTATTACCGGCAATTAGTGAAAATCTATCGACCTGACCTGGAGGATGAGGTCAAGGCCAACGTGCCTCCTTGTGACCCCATCTTCCATGACCTGGAGCCACATAACTTCCCAACACATCACCTGAAGCTGAGGCCCGAGGAGAGGGAGCGAGATCACAGGTAAACAAGAGAGCAATGTTACAGTAGCATTAATATATTCAGTGGAAGCATTAAACCATTAGGGTTTAGCGGAGTCTCGACCCTTGCAAACACAGCTCGGTAAGTACAGCGTCTGGGTGGAATGGGAAATTATGAGGTTTGATCCAAGGACGAGTATAGTAGTTACGTTTCCTTGAATCACCATCCTTTCACCAACATCAGGGCTCTCACCATGTATGGGTTAGAAGAGGATAAGTTTGTTTTAATCGGGATGTCATATAGCACCAGAGGAATGGGAAATAGTCAGGTTCGATCCAGTGAAGGAGTGGTAAGCCCAATTCCTTGGATTGAGAGCTCCCACTGGGAGTGGAGGGGGTTCAAGTCACATGAGAGTTGACAGATACGACAAGCAGTGACAAGGCTGTTTTTATGTAAAAAGCCACATAATGCCATCTGTTTCCTATTAAGTGCCTCCAGAATGTGACCCACAAAAGCCAACCAAGAATACATATTTCACTGCTTGTGAAAAGTCAGAGAATGTAAGGGATATATTTAGGTCTAGAGAGAAGAGGAAGAGGAATCGCTAAAACCTTTTTAGATGCGACAGAAAGAACAGGAAACAAAGGGGCGGGGGTTAGCCTATACGTCAAAAAGTTGCTCATTTGTACAGAGATGCTGAACACCACAAATGACGTAGTTGAAGTTCTAACAATAAAGATCGAGAACCAAAACCTAGTCATTGTGGTTGTATATAAGCCACCAGATGCAGACTCCAAACAATTTAAGGAACAGCTACTGAAAATTGGTTACTGTCTGGAAAGCCTTTCAGTTCCATCCCTGAACTTCAACCTAAGGCATTCAGAATGGAAGAATGTAGCAAATAATGTTATAGCAGAAGCAATTCCTGGAGGACCCATTAACACAAAGCACAAATATGAAAAACAGTATAGAATGGGTCAAATAACTAGAGAACAGTCTAAATGTTACTCGTCAGCACTTACCAGCCTGATAAGAAGATCTAAAAAATTGTATTGTGAAAATAGATTACATAACATCAAAGGTGATACAAAAAAAACCTGGAAAACTCTATCTGAAATTCTTGGAAATAAAAAGTTATCCAAAAACAAAACAATCAAACTAACAAAATCAGATGAACCCCCACTCACACCTACTGAAACAGCAAATAGACTCAATGTTTTCTTCTCCACCGTAGGAAAAAATCTAGCGAACAAAATACCAAGAGTAAACACCTGTCCATCAGACTACCTCATAGGTACCTACCCAAATATGCTATTCCTAGCTCCAACCAACTCCATAGAAGTTATGCTCATCGTAAGCACCCTTAAAAACAAGGCAGGAAACTTAAACAACTTGCCTGTTTTTATGTACAAAAAAGCTTCTCAAGTATTGTCACCAATTATTGCAACGCTCTTTAACAAATCCATTGAATCAGCTACCTTCCCAACAATCCTCAAAATATCGAGGGTCACTCTGATCCATAAAGGAGGTGACCAAGCTGACTTGAATAACTGTAGACCAATATTTAACTTACCACTGCTCTCTAAAATCTTTGAAAAATTAATTCATAGATAGATCTATTCCTACCTCGTCTCACACAACATATTAAACCCTTGTCAGTTTCGATTCAGGAATAATAAAAGCACGAATGATGCTATCATACACATGCTAGAACTAATATACACCGCCCTCGAAAAGAAAGAAGTCCTGCTGGGCATTTTCATTGATTTACGTAAAGCTTTCGATACAGTCGACCATGAACTGCTGTACTCCAAATTAACGCACTATGGTATCAGAGGCCACTCCCTCAACTACCTAAAATCATACCTTATTAACAGAACTCAATATGTGTATGCAAATTACCTGGAGTTACCTGGAGAGAGTTTCGGGGGTCAACGCCCCCGCGGCCCGGTCTGTGACCAGGCCTCCTGGTGGATCAGCGCCTGATCAACCAGGCTGTTGCTGCTGGCTGCACGCAAACCAACGTACGAGCCACAGCCCGGCTGATCAGGAACCGACTTTAGGTGCTTGTCCAGTGCCAGCTTGAAGACTGCCAGGGGTCTGTTGGTAATCCCCCTTATGTGTGCTGGGAGGCAGTTGAACAGTCTCGGGCCCCTGACACTCATTGTATGGTCTCTTAACGTGCTAGTGACACCCCTGCTTTTCATTTGGGGGATGGTGCATCGTCTGCCAAGTCTTTTGCTTTCGTAGTGAGTGATTTTCGTGTGCAAGTTCGGTACTAGTCCCTCTAGGATTTTCCAGGTGTATATAATCATGTATCTCTCCCTCCTGCGTTCCAGGGAATACAGGTTTAGAAACCTCAAGCGCTCCCAGTAATTGAGGTGTTTTATCTCCGTTATGCGCGCCGTGAAAGTTCTCTGTACATTTTCTAGGTCGGCAATTTCACCTGCCTTGAAAGGTGCTGTTAGAGTGCAGCAATATTCCAGCCTAGATAGAACAAGTGACCTGAAGAGTGTCATCATGGGCTTGGCCTCCCTAGTTTTGAAGGTTCTCATTATCCATCCTGTCATTTTTCTAGCAGATGCGATTGATACAATGTTATGATCCTTGAAGGTGAGATCCTCCGACATAATCACTCCCAGGTCTTTGACGTTGGTGTTTCGCTCTATTTTGTGGCCAGAATTTGTTTTGTACTCTGATGAAGATTTAATTTCCTCATGTTTACCATATCTGAGTAATTGAAATTTCTCATCGTTGAACTTCATATTGTTTTCTGCAGCCCACTGAAAGATTTGGTTGATGTCCGCCTGGAGCCTTGCAGTGTCTGCAATGGAAGACACTGTCATGCAGATTCGGGTGTCATCTGCAAAGGAAGACACGGTGCTGTGGCTGACATCCTTGTCTATGTCGGATATGAGGATGAGGAACAAGATGGGAGCTAGTACTGTGCCTTGTGGAACAGAGCTTTTCACCGTAGCTGCCTCGGACTTTACTCTGTTGACGACTACTCTCTGTGTTCTGTTAGTGAGAAAATTATAGATCCATCGACCGACTTTTCCTGTTATTCCTTTAGCGCGCATTTTGTGCGCTATTACGCCATGGTCACACTTGTCGAAGGCTTTTGCAAAGTCTGTATATATTACATCTGCATTCTTTTTGTCTTCTAGTGCATTTAGGACCTTGTCGTAGTGATCCAGTAGTTGAGACAGACAGGAGCGACCTGTTCTAAACCCATGTTGCCCTGGGTTGTGTAACTGATGGGCTTCTAGATGGGTGGTGATCTTGCTTCTTAGGACCCTTTCAAAGATTTTTATGATATGGGATGTTAGTGCTATTGGTCTGTAGTTCTTTGCTGTTGCTTTACTGCCCCCTTTGTGGAGTGGGGCTGTCTGTTGTTTTTAGTAACTGAGGGACGACCCCCGTGTCCATGCTCCCTCTCCATAGGATGGAAAAGGCTCGTGATAGGGGCTTCTTGCAGTTCTTGATGAACACAGAGTTCCATGAGTCTGGCCCTGGGGCAGAGTGCATGGGCATGTCATTTATCGCCTGTTCGAAGTCATTTGGCGTCAGGATAACATCGGATAGGCTTGTGTTAATCAAATTCTGTGGCTCTCTCATAAAAAATTCATTTTGATCTTCGACTCTCAGTCTGGTTAGCGGCTTGCTAAAAACTGAGTCATATTTGGGACTTGAGTAGCTCACTCATTTCCTTGCTGTCATCTGTGTAGGACCCATCTTGTTTAAGTAGGGGCCCAATACTGGACGTTGTTCTCGATTTTGATTTGGCATAGGAGAAGAAATACTTTGGGTTTCTTTCGATTTCATTTATGGCTTTTAGTTCTTCCCGCGATTCCTGACTCCTAAAGGATTCTTTTAGCTTAAGTTCGATGCTTGCTATTTCTCTGACCAGTGTCTCCCTGCGCATTTCAGATATATTGACCTCTTTTAGCCGCTCTGTTATTCTTTTCCGTCGCCTGTAAAGGGAGCGCCTGTCTCTTTCTATTTTACATCTACTCCTCCTTTTTCTTAGAGGAATAAGCCTTGTGCATACATCGAGTGCCACCGAGTTAATCTGTTCTAGGCATAAGTTTGGGTCTGTGTTGCTTAGTATATCTTCCCAGCTTATATCGGTTAGGACTTGGTTTACTTGGTCCCACATTATGTTTTTGTTATTGAAGTTGAATTTGGTGAATGCTCCCTCGTGACTAGTCTCATTTTGTCGGTCTGGGGCTCCACGCATACATGTCTGAACCTCAATTATGTTGTGATCTGAGTATATTGTTTTTGATATGGTGACATTTCTTATCAGATCATCATTGTTAGTGAAGATGAGGTCTAGTGTATTCTCCAGTCTAGTAGGCTCTATTATTTGCTGGTTTAAATTGAATTTTGTGCAGAGATTTAAAAGCTCGTGTGAGTGTGAGTTTTCATCAGAGCTGCCTCCTGGTGTTATTACTGCAACAATATTATTTGCTATATTCCTCCATTTTAGGTGCCTTAAGTTGAAATCCCCCAGGAGCAAGATGTTGGGTGCAGGAGCTAACTCTTCCACCCAAACAATCACAATAGGAGTTCCACAATGAAGTGTCCTTGGACCACTTCTCTTTCTCATCTACATCAATGATTTATCGAATGCATCACAGCTACTCAAACCCATATTATTTGCAGATGACACTACATATGTCTTTTCCCACCCAAACACAGTCATACTAGCATACACAGTCAATGCCGAATTGCAGAAAATATCTGCCTGGATGATGACTAATAAACTTACCCTGAATACTGGTAAAACCTATTTCATTCAGTTTGGAAACAAAGCTGCAAATGATCCGATTAACATAACGCTAAATGGATCATCAGTCACAAGACCCACAGAGGGAAAATTCCTAGGTATCCACCTTGACAGTAGCCTTAAAATAATAAATCCTAACTAGTCATAAGTTTGCCTATGATACTCCAATATAGACACTTTGTATTGTGCCAAAACAAAAGCATTCACAATGCTAAACTCACTAATTATGATGTAGTCACTTAGCCTTAAT